GACTTCGCAAAGGCGAATCAACAATTGATGATTGGAAATTACTTCTTACCCGTCAACCATCGAAAGTCGCAAATATACAAGAATTTGAAGATGCTACTAGACTTTTTTATAGCAATGAACAAGTTGCCAACTACAATCATGAGCAACTGTTAAGACTTATGCATCCAATTGCCCGTATCAATGCTCGTCATTCATCAGAAATGGCAAAAAAGATTTCATCTGAAGACATGTCAGGATTGGAACCAGTTATTTTTCTGGCGAAAGGTGCCAGAGTCATGCTAACTATGAATTTGTGGTCATGTGTTGGGCTGTGTAATGGAGCTACGGGAACAGTTGTTGATCTTATTTTCCAGAACAACCATCAACCACCTGACTTGCCTATTGCGGTCGTTATTGATTTTGAAAACTATAGAGGTCCTGTTTTTAACCCGACCAAGTCATGTTGTGTTCCAATATGTCCAATCACAGTTTCGTCACAGTCTGAGACCGGTTTTCATGAGCGGCAACAGCTGCCTCTAAGACTCGCCTGGGCTCTAACAATACACAAGAGCCAAGGACTAACTCTTCCAAAAGCTTGGATAGATATCGGCAAATCTGAAAGAACTGCTGGAGTCTCATACGTTGCCATAAGCAGAGTGAAGTCGCTTTCATCCTGTGTCATTGAACCCATGACGTATGAACGATTAACAAGCTTGAAATCATCAGCTAATTTACGTTACAGGCTTGAAGAAGAAAACCGCCTAGATCGTGCAGCACAGACTACTTATAGCAACACATTTTAGATCGACAAGCTACGGAGTTTGCAATTAGACGTGGGATTCTCTTATAAATCCCATTAAGCTTAATTCTATATTTACATTATTTTTTACCTTAAATAAATTGCAAATTATTTGATAAATACGTATCACACTCTCATTGCATGTATGTATTATAATAAGATCATCAACTTGTTATATGGTAAGTTTATTTTTATTTTCTTTACGTTTCTATCTCTACTTTATCTTAATGGTATCCCAATGGGCTGTTGTAGCGTATTCTAAAACATTCTCTCGTTCTGTATGTAGATTACTACTTCTGGTTAAAGATATGAAACAGCAACTATATTAGCAAACCGACCAAGGCGTAACTGGGCCCTAATCATTACCACGAATATTAACCTCATGAAGGAATTGGAAAAACAGTCAATAATGAAAACAACATACATCTGCCAAACAACTATGATGTTGCACTAATCTTATTGGAACAAAAAGAAACGTGATTTTGCCTGGTATAGTAGTCGTGAATCTGTAAAAGAACAGGCTGGAGTCTCCGAACAGGCTATGTACACATCTAAATCAAATTCATCAAGCCTCGTGGTTTAGTTCCAAAAACGTCATTTAACTTGTTTCTGAAATTGATCTGCCACGGAAGCATTCCTCCTCATTCTCAAGCACCTAGCGGAGGTATTTATCGAAGAGACTTTCAGTATTCAATACAACAATTGCCAATTTCCAGAAGAGATTCATCAAGTAAATGAAGTCATGAAAAACGAGTATATATTAGGATCAGTTTATGGCGATACATTTTAGTAATACACTAAAGGTGAACTTGAAGAGAAATGTATAAATTGATGTATAGATTATTGTCTTGTGGTGTGTGTGTGTGTGATTTGTAATGCTATACTGAGAAATTGTTTTAATATGTAGTATCGTGTAAAAACCGAATTCAATAATTGTCAAAAGGATTATACCGACACATTTCAGTAATACACTAAATGTGAACAATCGTGAATTGAACTTCTGACAAAGTACATACATACAGTGTTATTTGTGAGATAAATTGATGTACTTTTAAATAATTAGTGTCTTGTATTGTGTGTGATTTGTAATTCTGCTGTAAAATTGTTTAAATATGTAATATAAATATATAACGTGAAAACTGTATTAAATAACTGTCAAAAATTTGTTGTGTTATATATAATATATATAGGTAATTAGGTATATATAGGTGAATGGTTTGACCATTGCCATGGTTTACCGCATTCAATACGTCATATTAGACGTCATACCACATCTACCAATGAGCTTGCCTGATATTAATAAGATAAAATGTTGTGCGGCGTGGTCGATTATAATTTATAAAACTCAAAAAAATGGCTGATGGACGAGAAGATGTTTCAAGTTCCCAGTCCAAACAAGGTATCGAATACTTGATAAAATAGGTAACAAATAGTAGAAATAACGTTAACGTTCCTTTTAGGCCAGTAAGAGATAATATGTTAAAATGTCATGACAAAGTCCAGAAAAGCTTTCAAGTTTTATGGATTGAATATGATCTCTACTTCATATTAAAATATATTTTCCACTGGTGTTGTTTTTTAGAACCTTCCGAAATCACATGCTATATACATTCCGTGTCGCCCATAAAAAAAATCGGTACTTCCACATATTTTAACTGCTCCCTCCAAACGGAATCCGAGATGATCAACAGCGTCTGTTTCAGTCCAGAGAAAAACGAAAGTTTAGCTGCCTTTTCGAAACAGAAGTCTCCCGTAAAGATCAAAAGATTTTCCATCAACAGAAAATACGGCAGAGATGATATAGTGATAAATAAAAATACAGCAATAGTACCCACAACAGCCTCCTTTACCCCTTCGCCAGCTGAGAAAGACGATGCCATCACATTACATTGCTTAAAGCAATTGCGTCCTGAGCAATTGGTGTGCATTAAGGGCAAAGTCGTCAAGTTGTCGTCCACAAAAATGGTCGTACTACAAGGATCTAATGTCAAAAAGCAAGAGGGGTACATTGCGGATCCCACCGGCTATAGCAAGATAATTTTCTGGGGCAGTCACACTAATAGCACTGAAGAAAATTCAACCTACGTTTTCAACAAAGTTCGAGTAAAAGTTTACCAAAACCAAACCTACTTAAACACCCCGAAACAGGAAGATGAATGTGTCATCACATCATGTGATCCATTTCCACAACCTGTCCATCCAATTGAAGATCAGGAAACCACAAGACAAGCAGTTGGTAGTTTCGAGGGAGTGTTCTCCATTAGCAAGTACAAGTCCTGTTGTATGTGTTCCAAAAAGGTGGTTGAAAAACCAAACATATCTTACTGTGAACACTGCAAGTTATCCCAGAAAACTAGTAAATGTGTTACTAATTGGATTCTTAAAGTATATTTTGAATCCTCTAATCAACCAAAAGAAAAGTTGCGTTTAGTTATCTACAATGATGTTGCAACCAAATTGTTTAGCCTTTGCAACCTAGAAGCTGAACCATCAAGTGATGAAGTAATGCATAGTGTATTGCAGATGTCAGAGGTCAAAGTATTTTTTGACATACAAAGCAAAAAGCTAATTGACATTGAACTTTTAAAAGTTTAAAAGTACATTTGGTTCACTCTTCAAAACATTTATATTGTTGTACCGTACAGTTATAAACAGTACAGTAATAAACAGTGCAGAATAGTACAGTGATAAGATTTTAAAAAACACTTAGGGGCTGTTTACATGAGCCCAGTTACCCAAGATTCAACGAAGCGTGAGAGGACTTTGAGGTATTGAAATAAGTCTTTAAGACACCAAACAAGCACATGCTATTGTTGTGATCATTATTGTTGTGGTTATTGTTGTGGTCGTACGACTGCCAGGATCATGTTATCTGCTCATTTCAATACCTCAAAATCATCTCACGCTTCGTTGAATCTTGAGTACCCAGCCCCTTAGTCAGATGTCAACAGATTTTTTGACATAGAAATTGATTGATATTCAACTTTTTACTCACTGATCAAAACATTTGTATTATGATTACTATCCACTTTATTATTGTTTATACTTATAAAAAGGTTTTATGTTAATATGAAAAATGATAAATATTTAATAAAAAAAACATTGCCAATAAAAATCTTTGTGTTAGAGTTTACTTTAAGCATGTTAATAACAAAGCCACACTGCGCATCCCCCTGGAAAAAATTGCACCTCAGAAAAGTAAATGGTCAGGGATAAGGTAATTCAAAAAATACACTGACGTTGTCAAAGATAAGAATTGGGAATTGAGGTTGAATTAGTGATTATAGAATATCAATAGAGATATGAAAAAATATTTATGATTCTCAATATTTCATAGAAGTAAATAAAACACTACCTGCCAAGTTAACTATACCTAAAGGTCCAAAATGTTTATGATCACATTTCATAGAGTCAAAATCTAAGTTGATTTGGGAACCCCAAAACAAAATGTGAAAATCCATCACTACCAGTATTGTGGCTGCAATGACTTTCATGTTATGTTATTTGAAAAAAAAAACTCTGTCAGTCTGTACCTACTCAATAATCCTCACGGATATTTTTGTTCCGTCTCTAATACTGAAATATGTTTTCTAGTTCTAATTTTATTCCTCGTTACTATAAACCACCGCGTAATGAAACAATGCCTAATTCTTATATACGCCGAATCGCTAATAACGTGCGTCAAACCACTCTTTGGCAGCACTTCCTTGCGGTAGTAACTCCTAGTTTATGAATCCGGGAACTGAATATTCGAATTAGGGTCTAGGGAACAAAAATTCTACCGAGATTCGATTCACAACTTTACGCGGGAAAGTAATCAGTGCTTGTTGTTCATTGTTTTGCATATGAAAAACCAGTGAGAAAAAGCTACTTCGAATAACAGCGCCTTGTGACCTCAGATTCTTCCTTGAGTTGGGTGCAATAGTTGACCTCTGCCTCATATGGCCCTATTGCGGGCAGCAATTTAATATTACCGAATACCGAGTATAACTGAAGCGGTATTTTGAAACTCCCTTCCCCAATTATACTGTTCGGGAGAAATCTCGTTCCCCGAGCCTGCGATTATTGGTTCGGGAGGTTCCTGTTGGCAATCTGTTCCGTGACGTCACAGACTACCCCAGGCCTTTCCTCAGTTTCCTGGTTTGCGCGCACTACTGTAAAACTGCATAGTTTTAAGAGGTGGTTTCGAATCACGTGAAGCCCTTGCAATACATTATACATTGATTTCATATCTGAAAATTATGTGTAATATTTATGTGGGCAATAAATTTGGCATAAATTTGACGACATTTTGGTTTCGAAATAGCAAGAATTAGAACCATGATTCGAGTGAAATGCAACATTCGAACGACGAAAATTGTATGAAATATGAAGTGTTTAATAATATTTCATGTTACCTGTTTATCAAATAGTTGAACAAGGCGCTATTTATTTCACGAGGACGTAGTTTGGATTTTCTAATCTAATGGCGAAATTATATATGTTCTCCCGAAGACGATTTTACGGCACACTCTCCGCCACATATTTGTGTTTAATTTTCATGATATGCTTGAAAGTTTCTACGGAATCCAGCGTCGGTAAAAACCGGAATGAGGGTAAGTGAATGAATCAAGAAGGTGCTATATTATTGACATAAAGTATAGCAGTAATGTGTGTTTATTGATATTAAGAAGTGAATTAAAAATAAATTGTTCTGATCACGTTGTGTAACAAATGATTTGAAGCGTGTTCTGTCTACGACTACAGGCTCTAGGCTTGCTTTTCCTACGTATGGAATACTACGTACAGCACAAGTCTAGTTTTTCGCTTAAAAATTAGATAAATACAATCAATTATGATGAAATATACAGCTGCAGTTAACTGCACCTAAGGGGGTTGCACCTCCCCCCCCCCACCTAAGGGGGTTTCATTCCCTCCCCACCTAAGGGGGTTTCATTTCCCCCCCCAACCTAAGGGGGTTTCATTTCCCCCCCAACCTAAGGGGGTTTCACCACTCTGGTGGTGGAATGGTGACCCTGTGGGAAAGTCTGTTCTCCTTCATCAAATGTGGAAATTTTGATGTTACACAAAATTTGATTGGCCCTACAAAACTATTGTCTTTCCATGTTTGATGTCATTATGAAAAGGGTCTATTGTAACCAACAGCTCCTACTGTACAAGTCATAAACCTGTGATCAGATTATGCTGTTGTCATTTTGCAACATCAATGTTGCTAGCTTTCAAGTGTGTTTTTGTTTGACTAAGTATGGATAAACAAAATTATATAACAGGATTATGTAGTGCTCTTGAATCAAACTTCACTTAAGTTTTGGGAACTAACTTGCCCAAATTTACTCAAAATGGTAGTCTGTATTATAGGTTGCATAGTTCTATGATTAGTTTTAGTGTTTCCTCTACCCGAGACAAATCAAGTGCAGTTTTGTAGGCTTGGTGTAGGCAGCCATGGAGTAGTAGTGTACGAGCACAAGCTGTCATGCCTATTGGAATGTTTGTTCAAAAAAATTCTAAAAATGAGATGAAGCTGCATTGTTTGCCAGACGTCAAAACCTTAGGTTTGAAACTCCCAAGCGCAGTATATAGGTTGGCTACTAACTTCTTGGGTAAACCCTAACTTTGTGCATAATTCCGAAAAAGAAGTTGCACTCATATTTAGGGGTGCACACCCCCCTGTAAATCAATCCTTGTCTTCTACATCAATTAGTACTTTCATGAATTATATAATCAATTAGTACTTTCTGTTTTCAACAGATAATTTTCTATTTTGCCAGGTGATTTCCATGTTTCAATAAAGACGGTCAATGGAAAAGTTCATATAAGCTGGGACACTTCATCAGTGTGGCAGAATACTACGGTTTATTTTTTAAGCAATCTTTATGACAATGTCACAAATACGCCTTTCGCGGTTAGCATAGCTGTTTGCAATGCATCTATATCACATGACAAATCCTGGAAAATTGAACCAACTGGGACAAATTTATTAGAGTTTTGCAACAAAAGCAGAAAATGTGGTCCTGTTGATGGCAAAACTTCATTGGTGAAAGCTACAGGAACCCAAGAGTTGTCATGTGAACTTTTTACAACTTGTGCAAATTTTGATGATGTTTACAGTATCCGAGTTGTTTCAATTGGTGGAGGGAAGGAATATAGTTTTCAAAGTGGAAACATGACAATTCTTTCAGAAAGTAAGCTTATGAATTCTATTACTTAGTTCCAGGTATCAGACTAACAAAAATTTATAACGCAATTGTAATTTATCAAATCAAAAAGCTTGTTTTGAACCATGTGAACAGACAAATAGTCATATTAGTTTTTTTAGTTTTTTTGAGATTTCCTTAAATTATTAGTCCCAACCAGTGAACTGTGGTCATAGGCAGCCCATTAAATGTTGTGAACTTTTATTAAGATTTTTTTATCATGTTAATGTTGTCAATTTATAATAAAAATTGTTATAAAGAAAGCAAGAATAATTTAAATAGGTGAAATATAATTATAACGATAGACATTTGCATATAATTGTAATAAGTTATATTTTGGCAATTTAAATTATTCTTGCTTTCTTTATAACAATTTTTATTATAAATTTACATAATAGAAAATCTTAATAAAAGTTCATAACATGCCACCTATGCTGTGATATCAACTGGGACAAAATGAATATCAATTAAAGGGAATCAACAAATTGGTAATGAGAAAAATAGGAAATATGTTGCAGTTCAAGAAGTAATGATGCAGTATTACCCCCAATATTTCATAAAAATCCCATCATGTCTGTCTATAAATGATAACTTTTCATTATACTGTGTTTTGCCCACAAATTTCAGAATTCATGTACAGTCTTTATTAATTTCAGAATTTAAGTCCAACAAACAGTTTTATTACATTTTATTTGGTAAAACAGCTAATCTGTGAAGCAGCTAGGTGACTTTTAATTCTGAGTCAAGACATTAAAGCAAAACATATTCTGTTTACTTTACCGATGCGTTTTACATTTGCCCATTTGGGAAATTCAGTTATTCAGTACACCATTTCAATAGTTATACGAATATGTTTTTAGCCTTGGAGCTTTTTTTCAATAGAAAGTATCTGTGGAAAGTATAATACCATAATCTAGTCGATTATAGCAAAGTTTTCTGCCAATTTTCAAGGTTTTGTAAAACTTTGCAAGTATGAATGAAATATATAAATAGGCAAATATAAAAAATTCGAATTGAAAATACCTTTAAAAGCCTTTTCTCATTATTTCTGAATTTCTGCCTAAATGTTTAAAAAAGGAGGAACCTTCCACGAAGGACCTTCGATTCCGTTTAGTTTTCTTTCTCTTGTTTCAGCTCGCGTTAAAAGATTTTGTCTTTTTCATTGTTTAGCTGAACTTTACCATATGTTTCCTGCCATCTTTTCATTTTCCCGCCGTTTACGAACTACAACATCGTGCGCCGAATCGGAGGAGATCGTCATTCTCCGACCGAGGGGGTCATAACCGTTCTAGCTGTTCTTACATCAAGCATTTCTGCCGAGTTGCAATGTTTGCTGCGATTTTTATATGTGCGATTTTCTCCTTTTGATAAATGTGAACGACTGAATCTCTTTCCAAATAAGAGCTCTTATACATCAAAGAATTCGTCACTAACCCTCCTTCACATCTATCAAAAGAAAATCTTTCCTCAACAACCGACAAAGCAACCTCAAACAACGAATAGAAATATTTTATAAAGATTTTAGTTTTGCTAAGGAGGCATCGATGTAGCCAATAGGCGCTTGGCTTAGCATCCGGTTCTTGAATTTGCCCCCCATTAGCGCGCTCCCTTTTTCAACTGATGTTTCCGATACCAATGCCCCTCTAGTGTTACTTATAATTTTTATGGGCTTTTCAGGGTGAATAACTACTGACCCGTACAATTTAGAATCGTATATAGCGATAAAATGGATCTTAGGGTAACGTTATTCGGCAAAAGTTTTCTTAGATTGCCTCAATAGGATATGTAAATCTTTCAATTTCCCCTTTAACTAATTTCTCCTATAATTGTTCTAGACATTCTACCGTTCCGTGAAGTTAAAGAAATTGATTTCAATGGCCTTGATGGTTTCTATAAAGACGGGATTTCTGCAAATGACCCTGTGTTTGTCAAGTACTTCGAATCGTCTCAACTTTGTGGGTTTGGCGCAAATCTCACGGATAACATCCAGTTTGTTTTCAAACATTACCGAGTCAATGAAACAGGCTGTTTCTTTATGGGTCAGGTAAGTTGAAGCTGGGTCACGATAGCTTAATTATTTATTTTGAGCGAAATTTAACTGTTATTGCAAAACGAAATTTTATTTACCAGCAAAATGAATGTATATATAAGACGATATTTAAACAAGCTACCGTACTCTTGCATATTTTTCACGAATAAATTATCCATGAATTCTGTGGATGTCTCGTTCTTTAATTCGCTGTAGGTGTATGTTAGCTTTCGCTTTAGGTTGGGACGGATGAAATTTGAACCATCTACTTTTTAAGTAGTCCTAATTTCATCATTCTCAATTTATCCGTACCAAAACTGAAATTGAACATAAGCCCCATTTACACTACACTCGATTTATTGGCACGGCACGACTAAAATGGGTACCCGTGCCCACTTCATCCGTGCCCGGCCTTTGTTTTGGTACCCTGAGCACTAGTAAAATTGGGCACGGGTACCCATTTTAGCCGTGCCGTGCCAATAAATCGAGTGTAGTGTAAATGGGGCTATAGTGAAAACGGATCAAATTGGTACGGGTGAAATTTGACTATTTGGCAGTTTAAAATTTTATCCGTACCATTTTTTGGTACCCTACCAAATATTGTGCGTGGTGTAAATGGGGCTTCAGTCCTATGTCCTTGCCCCTTCCCCCCTCTCCCTCCCCCTCCCCCTCCCCTCTTAGCGGCAATGTTGGCAGGAATGCACTGTTAAAGTCACTGTATGATATTAAAAAGTCAGATTTAAACTTAAGTATCTCTATTTAGAAAACTGCCTCTTATACTGGTGTGCAGAACACGCTTTTGACACCAGATCACTACAGTGGAATAAAAATAGGCGACATCGAGGTCTTCGATTTCACAGTGAAGTTTTTGAAGAATAAGAAAACGACATCGTGGCAGCGCTTTGAATTCAAAATTGACACAAACGGTAAGTTTTCACCAGAGGAAGTACTTGTAATTCAATGAATGGTGTTAATAATATTCATATAGTAATATGTATAGGTAATCAATTTGTTTTACCAGTTTTGGGCTGAAAATTGTAACATTTTTCGTCCGGACTAAAACAGTGTGGATATACTTCCGAACTTTACAAGGTCATATTTTCCGTATTTTGCAACATTTCCCTGTCGAACTTCGAAGTTTTACTAATTTAAGTATGATCTTTCTAGCTGTGGTTAGTCTTCTATTTTCGTAATTAGATAAAAAAATTGTCGAACATGCAAAACGATCGATTGTTCTATGTATTTCAACTAGCGGAATACAAGAAACAGTGGTGTAACATTATTGGTAGCGTTATACACATAAAATGGCGACCTCTAAGGAGTTGTCGTGACGGCGAAGACACCAAGGAACAAGCGAGATTTTGCTTTTACAATTTCTCGACCTGTTATCCCGTTTGCGAGGCGTCGTTTTTTGCGAATGGAACTTTTCGTGGAGTGCGTACTTACAACAACACTTACAATGAGATTCGTGATGGCTGCAACAAAAGGAGCGGGTGTTCTCTTCAGAACAGAACGAAAGATGTTAAGTTTATCACGGTATCATGGTCGCCAGAAACTCAGACAGTATCCTGCACCCTTTTCAGGACATGTATGGATTATCCGGGCACATTTTCCATAAAGATTTTTTCAATAAACGATGAAAGAGACGAGTTTAGGTCCTATGTATGTCATCCGCTTACCCAAATCGCCGAATCTAGTAAGTTTTAAAAAAACTTTTTTTTTCGTCTGTCTCGATATCTGGTAGCATCGAAACATACATTATTAAGGTCTCATCACAGCTCACTCTTCCTTTTACGGTGATCATTGTTCAGTAAATCCAAAATACACGGATTTAATATATGAGATCATGATTGGATTAGGATTAGATTAAAATTAAGATGTAGACTAGGATTATGGGTAATAAGGGTCAATTCTAATCTTAAATCCAATCTTAACCTAATCTTATGAGTTGAATTCGTGTATTTAGGATTTACTCAACATGAAGTTTTCACCCTTTTGGCCCGTTACCCTTTGGCTTTAATTATTATAAATAAATGCCAAAGAAGGGCAATTAGCTTTCCTCTTCCCCCCCCCCCTAATACAGTTCCCCACATAGAGTTCTAGGGTCTAGAGTTCAAGGGGCTGAGCTCCTGAGCTCCTGGATCCAACATTTGCCCGATCTGTAATTTCGATGCTTAGTTTTAATGTGTATTGTTATTTTAGATACACCAGCAGTTCCACGCGATGTGCGGATAATAGACGTTCAAGCGAGACAATTCACAGTTACGTGGAAATCTCCAAAATGCGATTTTGATCATACATTACTAGGATGTAAAGTGATTATAGATTTCGGTGACGTGATAATTGAGGTTCGTACATTGTATTTTATGGTTGGTTGTTACTTTGTTTTACCAGTGGCGTAGCCAGCCGGGCGATTTAGCCATGCTATGCAAATTTTATGTTATTATCATTATTCATTTCTTTAGAAATTCATTGTTTTCACAGTCAATGAACACCAAAATATTAGCATAGCATGACTAAATTGTCGGGCTGACTACGCCATTGTGTTTTACTTTCTTTTAAGACCCTTGAACCGATTAAATTTTGTTTTGCTGTCCCATGGAATTGAGTGTTATTCAACCACAGCGCTTCAAATGTTCTATCGTCAAGGGACACGATGTAATACATTCACAATTCATCTGCTGGTAGATATAGATTTTATGTTCGAGTGGCAAAAAGTGGATTTTATGTTCGAGAAGTATTGTTTTTGAAACGAGAACATAAAATCCATATCTTCGAGCGAACCGTGTAATGTTCTGTTTATTTTGGACTAAAATCAGAGTGACAAAAATACACACAAAGACGTCAAGAAAATAAGTGCCTAAAGCAAATATTTATTAAATTACAGCCTAAACATTTAAGTAGAATAAATTTTACTTATCTAAAGATGTCTTTTAAATGTTTTCGTTTGTATTTCCAACGGTAATTTCGTTTTATATACAAGCCAATGACCATTTGTGTTTACACAACAACAACAATAAAAATGGCGGGAACATTTTGAAACTCGTTATGTCACTCCTAATGACGTAATGTAAGGAAAATACGCGCACCGTACCCCCGGCGTATGAGCTCTACGAATGCTTTAGTTCTCAGTAAAATACCCCCGTCTAGATGAAAAAATACTAATATTCATATAATATATTAAGGTACTTGCAACAGACAATACAAAGACGGATGGTGTTGACTACTTCTTCAATTATACAAGATCCTCTCTTCTTCCTAACCAAGAAGTGAAATTTAAACTTTTTACCTCCTGCAATGTGTGGAATAGGGGTAAATCTACTCCGACACGCGTTTTCAAAGTGCTTACAAAACCTTCAGGTACAGTTTGATTGACAAGCAAAGCTGATTTCTGTTCCAACTGGGGTAATGGTGAGGTTCATGTTTCATCACTACTACTGCACCGCAACTTGTGTGGAGCACTCAGAAGCAATAACTGGGTTATAACTCTATCAGATGAACCAATCAGGAGCGCGATAGGTGAACCGTTAGTGGTCTTGGAAGTCAAATCTGATGAACCTCTGCATGGGGAGGGCGATTACATTTACATTTTGGACAAAATTATTTTGTGTTTGTTTGCAATAACTTGACAGAGCACTGAGTACCCAAATTGAGTAAACTGCATGACAACCTTTCGTAAAAAACATCGCGAGCTGTTGAAAATAATTTACAATAACAATTTTTGTACTTTTTATCATACGAAAAAAATACTATTCTTGGGTTTCATGTGACGTCATAATTCCAGTGGGGGTCAACTCGAAAACGAGACACAATGAGTTCATTGTTCACTGTATGTGTTTTCGCTTTGCGCTTGCTATCAAATTTCGTATCATTTGCCCCCTTATGTCCAGCACAAGCGTTCAGAAAATTGAGGTTGACCCCCACTCAAATCACTAGGGAAACGCTTAGGGAAACCCACTAATATGGCAGTATTTGGTAATCGTTACTTGCAAAATTTCATCGGTTTCGTATCGAATCCATACTATCAAAAAGACTAAATATGGACATACTGTACACATCCAAAGCGATGTCGTTGTTAGTCATCCAAGAAATAAAAATTATAGAATATCATAGTGTAATAGAAATATTAAACCATACATTAGTTCCTTTTTGGTAGGTTAATGCATGAGATCTTACATTATGTATATTTCGATATTTGATAGCTCCAGATGTTCGACCTCACTCGCTACGGATAACAGGCACTGGCAGAGACCTGGAGATTTCATGGAAAGTAAGTTAACGTATTTTATGCAACAATAGTTATGTCTGACGAAGAGAAAACTATTTTCCAAGCTCACGACCCTACGAGGCATTATGGAAGTATAGAAACTTGGAACGCTGTCTTCGGCTAGAAAACTTTCGGTCATAAATTAATTCACTCTAATTAGGTTTTTCGTGATAAAAACCTGGACAACAGCCTCGCTAAGTTCGTCGAATGTTCGCTAACATGCTCACCAACTTATTTACTGGTGGGTAGGTGGATGGCTTGCTTGCTGCCTGCCTGGCAGGGTGGGCGCGCATCTCTTCCTTGGGTGCAAAGTTTCGATTGAAATATGGGGGAATTGTGTGCGAAACACATTATGGTGTAGCTTATTTGACAGTATAAGTTGTACTTTAACATTTCATTATCCTAATTTTTTGAACAAGCATGCATTCTATGTAACTCACAGCTGGATAATCGCTGATGTTTCGTTTCTACCCCACCCAATGGTCAGCAGCTGGCCTGCACCTTCCACCCCCCCCCCGCACTCCCCACCCCTACCACATTGAACTCATCCCTGCTCACCTGTATTGAAATGTGTTCCCCTGACGCAAGATATCTTTTCTTTCCTAGTATTCAGAAGGCGCAGATTTAAATGGTGTTCCCAATGAGACCAGAATCGAAGGCAAAGATGAGAACGGAATTGTAGTTTTCTGGAAGAGTGTATATAGAAACGAAAAATCTACTCGAATTCGCGTTAATAAAACTCAGAGATGTGCTCAATACCGAGTGAAAATATGCAATGCTCCCAAATTGTGCAGCGAATTTTCAGATCCCTATCAGATGCCAATCTGTGGAGGTTTGTTCTAGCAAATTGTATTTGCTTTCTGCCAATGGACGAAATGCACTTTAGACTAATTTTTGATCGAAGTAACTAGAAGAAAATAAATCATCGCAGCTAGAAAGATCTTACTTAAATTAGTTCAATTGCAAAGTTTGGCTGCGAAATTTTGTAAAATACGGAAAATATAACCATGGGAAGTTGCCATATTTTGTATACTTTTGTATTACGTGCGGAAATGTGTAGCTAATTTAGTTACACACTTCTGGCCGTAACGCAAAAGGATACAAAATTCGTCAACTTTGCATGGCTATATTTACCGTAATTTACAACAATTTGCAGCCAAACTTGGCAGTTTTACTAATTTTAGTAAGCTCTTTCTGAAAATGTCCTTTTTATCGCCGAGGTAAGAAAATAGTCCAAAGCGCAAGTCGTCCATTCAATACGCCATCAGAATAAGGCCTTTTTTCATGCACCGAATTTAATTTTGCGAAAACCGTTCTGCGCATCGGTTCTGCTCATAATAATGTGAGGTCCTCAGATAAAAATGTTGCCAAAATATCAAATTTGTCTAATCAAAAACGCGAGTTTATTTAAGGGCATGGCGAACCTAAATGTTGTTAGATATTCACACAACACAACACAACGCATTTCAAAAGGTATGAAAGTTCAAAACGTGAAAAAACCGTTTGTTTACTTACATACGCACTTGACCTCCACTTTCACATACAAAAACACGTCATTTTGTGTCTGTATGTAACAAAAATGTTGTAATTCTAGGTCCTACGGAACCCAACCAACCGCCAATTGAAGACACAAATCTGACGTGGATTTTGATCGCATCTTCGCTTGGTTTACTGTTCACTGTTGCTGTCATACTTGCCATAACGTACGTGTTATATCAGAAAAGAAGGTGAGGCGAAAGATTGGGTGAAGCACAAACGGGGGGAGGGGGGGGGTTAGTGCCGGAGATACCCCGACGAGGACATCGCGCACTGCACCAGGGGGAATTTCACGATGCTCTAAAATTTTTAATGTGACGAAATAATTTTACTATTTTAAATGTGATGAATTCTCATACTCGTTACACAATATAACTTCCCTCATTCACCCTCAAAGTTCAACTTTAATAGTTTTCCATCACGCTGAGTATTCCCTTAAAAAAATCTTTTATAGGAAGAAAACGCGCTCGGAACTTCCAGAGGTATGTTGATCTGATATAGATTTTTCTTTTCTATGTAATACGAGTTGTGTGTCTTCACTGCCCTGTGTAGATTCTTCCCAGATAGTGTAAGGTAAACCTTACGATCCACTAGCGGGCTAGAAGTGATAGAGCTGTCCAGTATAAATAGAGTTAGTTTAGTTTAGGTTTCCTCCTGTAGTAACACTATATGTAACTCGTTTTCAAAAATGTGTAACCTTTTTTTTTGTACGCAGTTGGAACCAGAAAATGACAAAACAGGGAATTATACTCCGGTCGCGACGGAGATTTTGACTCAAACTGGTATGTATAACACTTTGGATAATATGGACAAATTCGGTACCTCCCTGGACAAGGAAGAATGCCTTGAGGAATTGTCACGTGACACTGAGGTTAGTGGGTTACACTTCAATGGTGGCGGTACTTCATGTTAGAGATTCTCGGGTATCGAAAGCTGTACGAAAGTTCGCCTTTTGAACATGGTCTGAGCAGACAATTAGCAGTCGCTGACACTTGCTTTAACAGCAGGAATAAACCAAGAGAAACCTGTCTGTTGTGCGTTGGCCGCACAAAAACATTTATCAAATATTTCTCCTCGTGATTAAAGGAATTTTAACAACAGTTACAAGAATTCCTTTACATTTTCATCAACCTTACTATGTTCGCAGATATTTGCAATCAAAAAGCCCGTTTTGGTCGCCATTTTGTTATATCTTTTGAGCATAAAACCCAGTGAAATAGGTATAACTCCAGGTTTATATTGCGGTCTGTGACGAACGCGTAATATTGTAACAGTTTTATATGTTAGTATGCGTGCATCACAGACCGCTATATGAAACTGGACAACTTTTGAGTTATGTAAGATCAGGGTAAGATATTACTTACTGTAATCTTGACGCGGTGAACTCTATGAACACTGGAGCGATAACTGACGTTTATTGGTCGCCATGTTTCAAGCTAATTCGAAGCTAAATCGAAGACCAGTGCCAGTCTCTATTTTTGTTTTTGTCGGCGCGATCGTTGACCGTAAAAACAAAAACATTAGAAATGGACTGGCACTGGTCTTTTCATTTGGCTCTAAATTGGCTTCCAAGATGGCGATGAAGTTATCGTTCCAGATCACATAGAGTACACAGAGCCGACGTCATGATACTCGACGATTGATTCACGTAACCAAGATGGCGTACGTGTTTGTCGGCAAATATCTCAAATAATAGAGGTGATGAAAAATTGCAAAAGGTGTTTGTAACTTTGGTCAACGTTCCTTGGGGAAAAGAGTTTTTACTGTCATTTTCGTTTGAGGGAATCCTCAGATTTTGGTAAACAAAATGAGCTTCAATTGCTTTCTTTCCAAAGTAATAATATCTCATTTTGCACGTCCGTTGCTCTAATGTTTAAAGCATAAGTTAGGTATAACGCTCGCGTAACTCTCAAGTAAACTCTCATCAAAATTTGAACTAGTTCAAAATTGATGATAGCTTTGTGAGAGTGTGTGATGGTTATATTAAGAATTTATAATGGTAGTGAGTAGAATTTCAGATAAGTGTAGTTAGTTTTTGATGGCAAGCAAGTTGGTTTCGAGAGAAAATGCGCCAAGGTCGTTTAACATTCAACATTTTTTTATTGACCGGCCGTTTTTACGCTTGGGAAAATAATAAATCGTTGCCATAGAAATAGCCCTTAGACGTATATATGCGCTAAGGTTTAGGATTATAAGTACACGCTTGTGCACGCTAAATAGATTTGTAACTTTGTATTTATCCATAATGACCTTTACGATGTCCTTTCAAAGCTTCGAACGCGTTTCAAGTCCCGTTTCAATGTGGGAAAAACATTGACGTCACCTTTTAGTGCTGAATATGAGGAGCAGTTAATGAGTTAAGCCAAGATGGCGAACAATGAAGCCTCTTTTGTAGGTATAAAACACGCGTGTTTTTTGCGTGGGCTAGTCACGAAAGATGAAGCCACGGAAGAATTTTGTACTTTTTGTATGAATCTCACCAGCTTTTAACGCTTTTTTTAAAACAATTTTCAAGTTAGAAGATATTTCATTAAAAGAATGTGCATTCGACCAAATATGGAACTTATTTTGCGACGATTTTAAGCGCATCAGTGTCAGATAATAACAAATGTGTTTTTGTTTTCGTCAGGCACGATGTTTGTTTACAATGTCGTACAAAAATTATTCTGCTGTTCCGTTAAGTGTATCCAATAGTTCCTCGTATAGAATACATGCTATATTTTATGCTATATTTGTAAATTGAATCTAAAGACGAGTTTTAAATATTCATTCATAATTTCCCCGCCATTTTACTAGCCGGGAGACTAGATCATACCTACAAGAAAGGCTTCAGTGTCCGCCATCTTGGCTTCAAACTTACGGCGGAGCTAGCGTTCCAGTCTTATTTGAGTTCACTGATTAGGAGTAGGCACTGATCTAAAGATACACTGGATTTAGCACGCTATACCTAACGAAAACGAAGCCATAATTAACTTCCGGAACCTGCTCTTCAAAATTGAACAAAGGGCCAACCGCATAATTTTGGGAGGGAGGTATATTTATCTATTCATGTTTACATATGATACGAACAATAGCGTACAGCAGAAATCGGTCGGGCAAAGGACGAATATTTTAATATACCCCCCCCCCCCCACCTACGGCCCTTCAATCGAATTAAGACAATTCGGAAACTTAGGTCCTGAATCAGTCTTGCGTTGATAGTGGTCTGTGAAATAGTAATATTTTTCTCCATTCTGGGTGTCCAGAAGCTTGCTTATTCTGGCCTTGCTTTTGATGGGTATGAAGCCATTTCTAGTGTATATATTATCAGATCAGTTGATATAGGGCAATTTAAACCAAAAGAGTTAAACTAAGGGCGTTTTCCTATAAACGGTAAAAACGGTCGAACCGGTCCCGTTGTATTTCAGTACAGACAGATCACTGGTATTTTTGAGTGTTTAAGAAACCCGCATTCAGATTTAATGTTATTTACGTCTGATTATCTGGGAAAACGCAGTTTCACCGCTATATTTTTTAACGAAATACTCTATTTCAATTCAAAATACGACCGGTCTGACCATTTTGGCCACCGCTTAATGGAAAGCGCCCTAAGTGCATGTTCATATGAGACGGGCCGGGCTAGCTCGGCAGTGCTGGGGTGTGCATGGGCAGTGCTGACCTGTCTCATGTGAACAAGCCTAAGGCATGTTGCTTGGGCTCTTAAAAGTGACGTCATAATTCGTTTTGTACTGTTTGCTCTGGGACATTTTGGGTGGCAAATTGGAATACCGTTAGTCAAGTACCAACAAAGATAGACTGCAGCTAATATCGCTGTACTGAATGTAGCCTATATCACCGCGTGTGAATTCATAATTCGTAGGCGAAATATTCCAACGTTTACTGTCCTTCGATTTTCTGATAAATGAGTTCAGATAAATGCATCTATACAAGATAGTATTCGTAACTGTCCGCTCTAGGTCAGGTGTAAATAATTGTATATCAATTTTCGTTCGAAATTTCGTCTACATTCAAACCTTAATCTGTTATGGTCGCGCTGGAAACATTTTTAACTTTTTCTGAATCTATACTGGTAGTTGTTCCAACATAAGCTACTCGTTTTCAATCGTAATTTTAGATTCATCCTATGCCCGCGTGTAGGCAAATCCTCCTTTATTTATTTTCATCGTTTCTAAGGACATCATACAAACATTTAGCGATGCTTTTCTCGCATTTTAAAAGGTACATATAAAATGAGCATTTAATATGTGTATGCAACTATATGTATATATAGTTTTGTAAATATTGCAATTGTAGGTAGTATATTAAATTTGGAAATCCATTTGGTTTGTACAAGTCTCATGACTCGCTATTTTTTACGTCACTTTGCGTTTTTTTGATATTTTTGGCGATGAGATTGGGTGTGATACGAGATAAATCTATCTGGCAAATGAGACAGGAGGAGGGAATAGATATATGGGTTAATGTATTGGTATTTGGATAAATGAAATCGAATCTATTGCAATAGATGGATAAATAGAATGGAATAATGGAATAGATGGTTGGATGAAATGGGGTATGTCAATAGAATAGAAAGAAATGGAGTAGATAAGTGCAATGAAATATGGGATGAATAAATAAAACGAGATAGATGAATGGGATGGAACAATGGAATGGATGGAGAGATTTGTTTGATGTAATAAATGGGAAGAGTTGAATGAAGTGGATGAGTAGAAAAGAATAGGATGAGATTAGTAGCTAGGGCGGGTGAATAGATGAATAAAGAAAATGAAATGAACTGTTGGAGTGATAATTCGAATGGAATGGAATAGTCAGATGAGATTAGGTGAAATTCTTAGGAGTCGCTATGCCGTACATAATATTACCCTGTATGCCATCACTCGACAAGCTTATAACAGCTATTTTCAATTATAAATAGTAACATTTCGTGTTTAATTCCCTGATCAGGAAATCCAAGAACTTACCAATAATAGCAGTGGAGATATAAAATTCTCGAGAAACTAAATTTGGCAATGACTATTCCATCAGGTTTTATGAGACCCCCATACTCTTGTAGGAATGATGCTGCGCTATAACTTACTTAGTCGAGTTTAAAAACAAATGAAGCCAATTATTAAAATCGCATTAACTGTACAATATAACACGATGAGGTGCTCAGGTGTTGGAATTCAGGAGCCCTTTTTTATCGTACGTGGTTGAGTTGCCAATTTTTTTGAAATAAACTTTTTAGCCCTGCCGACGGATGACCCCATCTGCGATAATGCATTACTTACAAATGGTATTTGACTAACTTCATTGCAATTTATTGCATGATTGATAAGAGCCAATTAATGCACTCTATACATTTCATAGGGTTCAACAAGGTAAAGAGAACAATGTGACCTACATTACACTTTAAATGCATGAGCGCGAAAAATTCGATTTATTTAACTGCTCAAAAGACAGTATTTAGCTGTTATAGTTTTCGAAATATATCGAGTGAATTAGTTATTTACAATATAAGATCTGACCGGGGAACAGTTGCAAAAAATATGCAATGCAACTATATTGTCTCTATAGAGACATCTGGTATCTGGTATTCAAAAGACTGCATCGCATGGTGGAGGAAATTCTGTCATGATGACCATATATTTTCGCGTTTCTGAGAAGTATATTTTGATGAAGTAAGTTATGCAGCAAGTGCGAAAATCTACATGCAAACTTCTTAGGGCCTGTTTATATGATCTCGTCTAGCCGGGACGGGATGTTTTCATCCCGCTTAGCCGGGAAACTCGCGCAGGCGGGATGGCGTGTTTATATGGAGTCCATTTTGTTGTGCAGGTTCCTTCGAAGGCATGTTTTATTGTAGAAAACGAATATGCCAATATATACACATGCTCCTAATGTATGTTAATCGCAAATCATCCCGGCCAAGCGGGATGGAGTGTTTATATGGCAATTTCTCGTCCCGTCTAAGCGGGATCCCGGCAAGAAGTGCCGGGATCCCGCCAAGGCGGGATGGAAAAGTGGTCATATAAACACTAATTAGTGTTTGTATAACAAGCGGGTTCTCGGAAACTGTCCCGTCCCGGCTAGGCGGGATCATATAAACAGGCCCTTAATCATTGTTATTATGCATGGCCTCATAGGTAACTGTAGAATCTACCCTTCACAGAATATGCTACATATAGCGATCGTATATATCCGTTTAGTGCACGCTCCTTTACTAATTGCTTCTAAAAATATATCATATCGTGAGTATTAGAAATGCTTAATTTTTTAAGTATTATCATTTTTGGGTGGATAGTAAGATAATTATGAGACTTGATCCGAATTCTTAACCTGCCGAATTCAGGAAATTGGATGTTGTGGAATTACGCGAAAAATAGTCCAAGCTATTGTTATCTCGCGTATATTTTTGGAACTTTTTGACATTCTGTCATCAGAAATTATTCTCAATTTCCTTGTCTGAATTTCAATAACTTTACGTTCACGATTCTGTATGCACGGTTATGTTTCCCAAGCATGTTTAATTCGCTTCGTACATGACTTGTTTCTATGCAATCAGTGCTAGAAAACGTTTAACAGCATTACTGCTGAAGAACTTATCTCGCTATGCAGAGGTTCGTGGGTGATAGGTTCACAGGAAATATTTCTCAATTTTTGAACACAAGCAACGGCTTCATCTTCATATGCATGATTCAATACAATCATTTTATGCCTGCGAAATCTTTAAATAAACACAGGAAATTTTTGTTTGGATTTAGCCAGTGCAACAAATTATAAGCCTATCACAATCAGAGGTAAATAGTAAAATGTAGTTAAGAGTTTTAAGCAAGCGACCTCAGCATGAATTCTCAGTTTTATTTCAGTGTATTATCTGATATTGAGATAACAATTAAGATTCATTCGACACGAATTGCCACGATTTTCAATGTATATATTGTACCAAGTGATATCGATCGACTTTTAAACCGCTATGTCATCAATAAATCTAAAAATGTTATTTGGGTTGATGCATAACATGCACAAATTCTTGGAAGTTTTTTGATTGGGTTCTAGAAGCACAGAATCCAGTCATAATGCTATTAATTCTTCAGTGAAGGCCCGAAATATATCTGGGGCCGGTTGTATCAAGCCCGTTTAGCTTAAACGGTAGTTAAGTTCAAAGTAGAAAGCAAGTCTATCGTTCTATTCAACAAGCAAACTAAATGTTTTTAACCTTAATACAAAGATACTGTTTACAACTACATATTCAGTGCGTAATATTCAAGTTGACTTATTCAAGAGAGATCTAAGAGTGTTATTTCATTTTGACTTATCCACCGTTTAAGCTAAACGGGCTTGATACAACTGGCCCCTGCTGTTTATTTTTAGCTGGGTGGAGAATGTTTGTTTCATTTCAAAAACCATATTTGCTTTACTTAGCATGATTTTTCTGAAAATATCGCATAATTTCGCAGTGTGAGAAATTTAGTCGCGCAAAGATTACTGAAGATTAAACATGAAAATGCAATTAGGTTGCATGGTTTGTTTATAATTAAAAAGCACGGACTGTATTTTTAGTGGCTGTTGGCGTTCGTGAGAAGGTTTGTCTGGTTAACAGCTTGCAAATATTGTTGTAGCTTTCATTCAACGTGGAAACAAACTGAGATATGAATGCTGAATTACATGCAAACTCTGGGCTGGCTTCAAATAAATCTGCGCGTTTTGACTGAGGTAATTAACCTTGCTGATACATAAATATTCCTGCGGAATTTTTTCATATGCTGAGAATTCCAAATATATCTTAGATGATTTTTGCTTTGG